CAGCAGCTCTGGAGATTACGTTTTTGTGTTCATGCCGTCATATAGTGAGACGCAGAGGCCGAAAATCACTGCGAGCGTCACGCGTGCTTCAGTATTTGTGTAGTAAACAAAACAGCATTTACGCCATTCATACATAGAGGCAAGCGGAACATGCAGGACTCATATTTAAACTGTCTTTTTGCGTTTTAATATTCACAGACACTAGTTCATATCGCGATTCGAATTAAGTGGCAGACCTACTTTTGATTTATTCGTCCAAAAATTGATGAATTCCATGGCATTCCGCGCTATAGAGTAAATTACGTTTTTATGAATGACTGAATGGAAACGCAATCCTGTCCGCGTTTTCGCAGAAACCATATGACCCTAGAAATTTAACCACACTTCAGAACATTTCGGCTTGCCCTGTGTGTTGTTTGAACAAGTTGCAGGGGTGACCTCACGTCACAGGCTTTCTCTTTCTCTCTCTGTAGCATATGCGCCCAGATGCGTTCTCAAGTACCGAAATTTGTACCGATGCAATTCGGTCGGTACCCTTAAAAGTACCGAATTCGGTACCCAACCCTATAGAGCATAGGCTGGTCAGAATCACACACCTGGGCTTCTCCTGCGTCTCGATGAGGCGGATGACGTCCTCCATCCAGAGCATGAGGTCGCGCACCATACTGAAGAAGCGGAACTTGTCTCCGGTGTCCAGCAGTCGCGTCCGCCGGCCCTCGCAGGCCTCCAGCAGACTCCTCCAGGCCTCCAGCACCTCGCCCTCACGCCGCTGGATGTCGTCCGCTTTGTCTCCAGCATACGCTGACTGCAGGCGCACAGCGTCCTCCTGCAGCTGCCTGACCTGAGCACACAAGCAGAGAAACACCTCCTCATGCAGCAGACGACAGTGAGACACTGAGTACACAGCTTTTGACGCTCCGCTCAGAGCACTCATTTAGTGCAAGACAAAGTGTGACAATTCCAGAGACATCAAATTTTAAGATCCATTAATTAAGTGAAGAGTCTTGGACAGTGCATTTAGCCAATAAAACCGATTCATTTACTTCTTTGTTGTGCAATATTAGTCTCATAACGCAGGATGTTCACCTTCAGAGGTTAATGAGGCACAGACGAAAGCTGCGGGACAAATCCATATAGTGTCATTTGAGAAAGGACTTTACTGAGGAAAGCATTTCCAACTTCTCGACCAATCAGTTGTTTTTATGCTATTCATTGTAGACAATTTTTCAATATAAATTATATATTTAATAAATCTATTTAATTTATAAAACAGTAACATTATTTTTTTATTATTTAAAATATCATATTATTTATTTAAATATTTATTTTAATTATTTAAAATTTTAATTATTATATTTGTATTTTATTACTTTTAAGGTTATATTGTATTTTTTTTAAAACATCACATTAATTAAATATATATCTGTGTGTAAGTCTATAAAACTTGAGAATAATTTTCAATAATAAGTCAAAAAATAGATCAAAAATACATTAACAACAGTAAGATTGCAAAATATTATTACTATTTAAAAAGTATTTTCTCATAATATATTTCAACATTTAATTTATTTTCAGCCTATAGTTAATCAAATAAATACAGCTTTGGTGAGCATAAAATACATAAAAAAATCTTTATTATTCTAAACTATATATGATATATTTACACATATCAGCATTATTTTTTATATATATTTTTTTAATATTTTCATATTTTACAACACATTTATTTTATGATTTATATATGTATTTATTATGCAGACATTTACTTAAATAATTGTACTTGTTTTCTGAACAGTGACAAAATAATTTGATCTATATTCTGAAATGAAACTAAAAAAAACCCCAGATTTTTAAACCATACATAAATATTGAGATATAAAATGTTGTACAATATTATATTTTATAACATTACTATAAATATAATTTTTGACACACACACTCACAGACAAACCCACACACAC